AAATTAAAAAAATAAAGTTTATTTTTTAAAGTCCGTAAAATGAATTAAGAACACATAAATTTTTATCATCTGCGACGTGACGAATACATTTTAATTTACTCAAGAATGTGTACCCTGATACATTAAATCTGATTCCTGTCTTATTTAATTTCACAACTTTGAAAAGGAATGTATGAATAGCTATAAAATGATGAGAAGATGTTTTATGGGTTGCTTCCATTTTTTCTGAAATAAATGAATAAATATAATGTTTATAAGTTTTCATATCTTTTATGTTCTTAATAACGAATGGTATAGACCTTTCCACTTCGTCTTCCTTCGGTGCTGTTCTTTCATATGAAACATTATTGGTATCTTCAATAATGAAACCACAATCACACAAAATTTTATAGGTTCCAATGGTTTCTTTTGATATTTTATCTAATAAATCAAAAACTTTATCAACACCTGTGCATTTATTTAAATAATAATTTGTGTAAATATCATGATCTTCTTTCTTAATCGTATTAGTTGCATATGTCACGTTTTTAGAGCTTTTTTGAATTTCTCAGAATCGAGAGGGGGTGAAAGTAAGATACAAGGGTATTTTTCATTATCAATAAATTGTAACTTATGTTTACGTATAAATTTAGTACCTTCTTCTGAAAGTGTTTCATCTATTTCACCATCTAATAAATTTTGTGTTGATTCTGAGACATAATTTTTATATCTTTCTTCATGAGATTTCTGAACTTCTGATTCTGAAGCTGGGATATTCATTAAACCCTCTACTTCATTTTCAACTTCTCTTAATTCCTTAATTTTTTCATCTATTTCATCTCTTATTTTTTCCAGTTTTTCAATTTCATCGTATTCATCATCTTTAATCCGTTCTTCATAATATTCAGGGAAAACATCAGGTTCTTTAGGTTTTCTTCTTTAGATGTGGGATATAAGAAATTTATAACATCATCTTTATTCATTTTTCCATCATAATCAAACTCATTTAAAAACTCCGCGAATTTTTGACAATTTCTTAAATAATATTTATCAACCTCATAACCCGCCTCCTCTAATATATCCTTTATTTCCTCATTTGTGAATCCCAATTTTTTAACATCGTTAGTTTTGACGCTCATTTCATACGAATTAAAAATAAATTATTCAAAATGTAAGACATTGAATTTAAAAGTTTATTTTTTTATTTTTTATTTCATTATGGTAGTGAATCTTTCATTCATGAAAATAATTATTTCTAATTTCTTTTACTCGTTTATGAGGTCTTTGATTATGACTCCATTGATTCCATTCAGGATTTAAACAATGTTTAATTAATCGCGGAATATCTGACATCATCTATATATAGCTTCTTTTATAAAAGATGAAATAAATTATTTTAAAATTAATATGTTAATTTTTTAATGCGTTTAGTATGGGCTGAGTGTAAATGTCTTACAATTTTGAAAATTTTTTAAATCTTGATTTATTCAAAAACGTAAGAATAAAAACCGTCAGAATCATACATTTTTTACTTCATATGTTAAAAAAAATGATACAAAATCGCTCGATATTGTATGAATTCTTACGTTTACAAAAAAAGTCACACAACCCCTCCACATACACTACTACTGATATACAATAAAAATCTTTATTATTTATTTATCCTTTATTGTTTCATTAAACTTCATTTATTTTATATTATAGTTTTATTCTTTTAGCTACTTGTAAAATAATCTAATTTTATATCATCATTTTACCGGATTATTCTTCAGTACATCGATTGTGTATCTAAAATAATATCATTATCCTTATTCTGTTTTTTCCAAAATTCTTTTAAATATCTTTTTTGGTTAGATTACTTTATACTTTTACTTTTATTTTTTAATTTCAAAAAAAATTTGGTGATTGTTCTATTCTGTTACAATGTGCATTATCATATTCTAATGAATTATTCATTACATACATTAAAAAAACTTGTTAAAAATGAAATTAAAAAATTATGTTTATTATTACGCTGTGAATGTGTCAACAGCGGTCATGCCTGTATCTGTATCCCATATTTGCCACAACCTTTCTGTATCTGCATTTGTGTATTTCGGTTTCAGCTGATACATTTGATTTGGCGTGTAATTTGTTCCAGTTAATGGATTAATTGGGAGATCTTCATGCGGTGTGTTATTATTGTACTCCCAAATAAAGGCAGGGATAGCCTGAATGCTTTGGCAGCGCTCCAATGTCGGCCAGAATCTCTCAATCTTCCCATTTTGGTAGGGAGAATGAGAGTCTGTATGCCGCCATTGGACGCCCCAAAGATCAAGTAGATCTTGAAAGGCGCCCCTATTTTCTGAACCGTTGTCGGTCCAGAAACAATAAGGGGCGCCAAATTCAATGAAGGCGGAAGCCGCAACGTTCGCTGTCGTCGCTGCCAGCATATCTGGTATTTGTATACACGCTAGGACTTTGCGGCTAAAATCGTCGATTATGCCATAAATATACTGGCCACGAACACCCCTAAAAATAATGAACATCTGCGTGCCAGATAAGATTGGGTGAAAGCGCCCAATATCTTACTGCTGTTTCTGGCCCGGCATGCTCTAATCGCGTCTTGGTGAAATGATTTTCTTTGAAGTATCTGCGTACTTCTCTATAAGATACATCAATTTGTTGTAATTTCAAACGTTTCCATTGTTTTGTTTGACCACAGGGAAAGGCCCAGTGGTCATGTATCACAGCAAGAGCTTTGATTTGGTCGTAGGGATTGACCCTACGACCTTTCTTGCCTTTAGGCAATGGGATATTCTGTAAGCTAAATTGATTTTGTAAAAAAGATTTTGAAACATCTAAATATTTGAAATCATTTGATTGAAGGGTTGGGGCGATGGGAACATGGGTGCAAGCTTCTTCCCATGTCATTTTACCTTCTTCAATCTGATTGGAAATACCAATTAGGTAAATTCGATCGACATACCCTTTGTAAGGATTATTCTAATGAAGTACGTTAACAATCAAAATATTCTATAAGTGTCTAGTATGGAATTCAAAAGAATAAAGAAAATGGTAACGTAAATAAACATATTATGAAATAATTTATAATTAAAATGAAAAAAAGAAAAAATAATAAGTAAAGTGACTGGAAATGAAAATGAAAATCAGTGTACAGTTTTATTTTTTTCGCTGTGAAACGTATTCGGTCATTTTTTAAAAAATTAATTTTTTGTTAGAGATAAGAGCTAAAACTCGGTAAACAACTTCTTTATGTCTAGAAAATTCTATCTTGCCTTTTATTTTTTCTCGCTGTGAAACGTATTCGGTCATTTTTTTAAAAATTAATTTTTGTTAGAGATAAGAGCTAAAACTCGGTAAACAACTTCTTTATGTCTAGAAAATTCTATCTTGCCTTTTATTTTTTTCTCGCTGTGAAACGTATTCGGTCATTTTTTAAAAAAATTAATTTTTTGTTAGAGATAAGAGCTAAAACTCGGTAAACAACTTCTTTATGTCTAGAAAATTCTATCTTGCCTTTTATTTTTTTCGCTGTGAAACGTATTCGGTCATTTTTTTAAAAATTAATTTTTTGTTAGAGATAAGAGCTAAAACTCGGTAAACAACTTCTTTATGTCTAGAAAATTCTATCTTGCCTTTTATTTTTTTCTCGCTGTGAAACGTATTCGGTCATTTTTTAAAAAATTAATTTTTTGTTAGAGATAAGAGCTAAAACTCGGTAAACAACTTCTTTATGTCTAGAAAATTCTATCTTGCCTTTTATTTTTTTCTCGCTGTGAAACGTATTCGGTCATTTTTTAAAAAATTAATTTTTTGTTAGAGATAAGAGCTAAAACTCGGTAAACAACTTCTTTATGTCTAGAAAATTCTATCTTGCCTTTTATTTTTTTCTCGCTGTGAAACGTATTCGGTCATTTTTTTAAAATTAATTTTTTGTTAGAGATAAGAGCTAAAACTCGGTAAACAACTTCTTTATGTCTAGAAAATTCTATCTTGCCTTTTATTTTTTTCTCGCTGTGAAACGTATTCGGTCATTTTTTTAAAAATTAATTTTTTGTTAGAGATAAGAGCTAAAACTTTGCAGACAACTCCCCCATGTCTAGCAAATTTAACATTCGTCTCCCATTTTTATATATTTGGTTTAGAATGTTCGAAAATGCGTAATATGGTTATTAATATTAATTGAAAAGAACCTTGAATTAATTCAATCTGATCTCACAAAATATTTTAAATTACAAACTTTGTAGTTTGAATAGATAATTAGTAGTAAACTCAAATAACTAGTTTATTTTTGAATAAAAATTATTTGAATTTATTCAATTTTGTGAATTTTCCTTCAAAAATCAAGTTTAAATATCTTATTTGCCATATAATTATAAATACAATGAAACATATTCGAAATTGAAAAGAATGACTTTTTCTGTTCTTTCAATCATTCAATTTGAATTTTGCAATATTGGATTTCTCATTAAATAGCTATTAAAAACAACAAGAAATTTAACTTACATTCAAATTTATTTGTGTTATATTCAATCTTCTCAAAACTTATAATTTTCGGCTATAGCATGATTATATGCTATATAATATAATAAACCTATAATAGTATCATTCTTTCAATTATTTGAAGAGAAAACCGAAAAAATCTATTTTCGGTCTATAACAATTTTGAAAACAAAATTGGAAAATTGAATTAAATCTATTATTAATCGATGATGCATCATTTCCTAATGCTTAAACTTTATATCAACCACGATAAATAGAACGTAATATTCTCTCAAAAATTTGAATTCCCAAAGCAAAAATTGAATTCAAACGTAAGAAATGGTTCAAAACTAATAACCCGATTTAAATGAATGTTTTATCAAATAATTCAATCCGTTTCAAATCAAGTTATTTTATATTATTACACATGTACAGCCATTTTTAGAATAATACAATTTAATTTGAATTCAATATGTATTTAAAAAGCGGTTATCATTCTCAAAATACTTTTATAAATTAAAGCTTATAAACAAAAAATGGATTCATGCTTGGAAGACCCAATTTTAGAGAATTATATCATTAAAGCACCGATCGGTACTGGCGCTTTCTCAAAGGTATTCCTAGCAATCCATAAGCCTACAGGATTTAAAGTTTCAATAAAAGTTATACCCAAATACTCTAATACTGATGATATTAAACAACAAATTATGATTAAGAGAGAAATTGATATTATGCGCTTGCTTAATCATCCGTATATTTGCGATCTTTATGAAACAGTCGAATCTCAACATTACATGTACTTAGTTATGGAGTACATTATAAACGGCACTTTGCTTAACTATATCAATGACCGCGGAGCTTTAAAGGAGGATGAAGCGGCAAACATTTTTGCCCAAATTGCAATAGCCATAAAATACATGCAAAGTGACTGCAACGTGGCACACAGAGATATTAAAACTGAAAACATACTACTTGACATAAATAACAATATAAGAATTATCGATTTTGGCCTCAGTAATACTCCAACAGGAGACGATAAGCTTCTTCAGACGCAATGTGGTTCTCCAGCATATGCCTCGCCAGAGATGATTATGGGGCAACAATATACCTTTTCGTCAGACGTTTGGAGCTGCGGAATATTGTTGTACGCAATGGTTCTTGGAACATTACCATACTTTGATGAAAACATTTCAAAACTTGCACAGAAGATATTGTTTAAGGATATAGAGCTTCCGATCACTTTAACCCCCAATTGCCGAGATTTGATTACCCGCATGCTTACAAAGAATCCAAGGGAAAGAATAACAATCGATCAGATGCTTGCACATCCATTTATTGCTGAGCAAGTCCAGTTTCATTATAAGAGTATTTCAACTTTCGAGATGAACGAAGAACTTGCAGCTTATAAGCTTAGCATGATGGAAATGGAATTTGACAATGTTAAAAAAAACCTTAGCATGGGAGTTATGAACCAAGGAACCGTATCTTATATGATAATAAGAAGAGAGTACATGATCTCAGTATTTAGCCAATACAAAGCCACCAAAAACAATGTATATGCTAGAAACGCTTCTCTGCAAGGTATTGCAGTTATATCTGCTTTGCCACGCTTACATGAAGTAACAAATGGCTCTTCTTTCAAGAAGAGGGCAAATTCCATCAACGAAAGAACAGCCAAACTTATATCTAGAAGAAAACAGAATCGTCGTTCTCTTCTTATTGTTTAAATTAAATATTGTTTTTTTATGTTACAAAAATAGATTACATGATACAAGTTTTTTACTCTAATTAATGCACATCACAAACTGCATTTTCATCAATTACGATCAAGCAAATCGATGAAAATGTAAACAAAAAAATTTCAAATCTAAAAAAGTTAATCTATGAAATACACGCTAGTATTCTATACAAAGCGTCATAAGTCAGTTGATTTCGGAGATTATTTCCAGCAATGAAGTAAATTTGACGGTAGAAAAATTTCAAACATTTCTTAACTCTATTTCTTGGTCGTAGCATTCTTGACATTGTTTATTGCTCTATTTTGCCATTTGATGACTTCTTTCAAACTATCTCGTTGGAGTTGTAATTGGTCTCTTGCTTTTCCAATAATAAGTAGATGAGAATGTAGTGCTTCATTCTGATGTATGATATCTTTCAAATTGTGCTCTAATTTCATATATTTTTGTTCCATTTCTTCATGACTCATATCTGGAAACGTGATAGCTATTTCATCTTGAGAACCCGAAACATTTAGTTCCGAAATCGACTTTACATCTTGTTTAAACATGTCATTATATGATTTCATCTTGGCCTCATAAATTTTCTTTGATTTAGACAGAGTATTTTCACGAATTTCTTTATATTTATCTTTGGGGATTGTTTTAATTAATGCGTCGTTCCTTCGATGTGTATTTGTAATAATATTTTCTTTTGGTTTACTGAAATATCTCGGTACAAAATTAGGAACAAGAACAATTTTCTCAAGATCACTCTCAGATGCATCCAAAGCTCCCGATGTTAGCTCGCTTTTGAATTTGTCATAGTATTCATGATTTTTTTCGGAAAACAGAGATTTTTTGCGAAATCTAGAGTTAGGCTGACTTTCAAAACGTATTTTTGTTTCTCTTGGAGCTTTTGTAGGATTGCTTGCCTCTTTGGAGGCGAGATTTTCATCACTTTTCTCCATTTACAAAAGTAAAAAAATGTAAAGAAAGTGCTAAACGCACAGTATTCATTTTCACTCAGTCAACAATTAAGATGAAAGACCCAATTCAACATCCAAATGCTTCGGAGGAACTTGTTCAATTTTTTTTGAAAGGATTGTGTGCTATGAAAGTCAAAATTATGCCACAGTTTTATTATACTCTTCTTAAAGAACAGATTTATTAAAAGGAAAGGTACATTCACTATTTTTGACAAAATTTTAAATTTTCATGGGGTTGTAAATCTTATAATAACTAGATGAATAAGGAATAAATCCCAGTATGATGTGCATCATTATATTAAACACTATATGTAAGGCCGGTGATTCTATTAACACTTATGAAGATCTATAGTATTTGAGCAGATAAATTTGATAATTTCCAAAACTCTTATATTTCAAAATTAAAGTGTGCGAATGCATTTAAATGAGAGCAAAAAGAGAATGATGCTGTTAAAACTAGGTGTTAATTTCCAATTATTTCGCATCACAAGAACTACCCAGTAAATTCGGCTATCTTTCTTTGCAATTATTTTCTATTTTACATATATTATAATGGTTAGGGTTTGAAGAAAAGTTACTAGAGAATTATTGATTTTTGAAATAATGCAGAATTTTACTTGAAGAAATCATTAATTTATGAGCTCCAAATTGCTAACCATGACGAAGAATCATTAAATTTGCTACAATTAAATACATTTATTGCCGAATTAAGATTATTGAAATTAAAAGTTTGAAATATTGCCTTTTTGAATAAAAATTTAAATTTGATTATATAATCATGATAATATATTATTGAAATTAAAAGAAAATATTTTAAACCATTCAAATATTTTGAATGTCTTATCAATTTAAAATATTAAAAGATAGCTTGATTTTATCATCATTAGTTGTTATCAAAGTTTTCTTCTTTTGATGAACAACAGTAAATGATTTGTTAATACATTGTCTTCCTTTTTCGCAGCAAAATCAAAAGTTATGATGATAATCTTGTACTCAATTTTGAAACTCTCTGATTTACAAGTAAGCATTCCTTTGGAAAAGCAGTCCTATTCTGTTTTCAAGATATTTTAAAGCCCCTATTTCATACAATGTGCAGATCTATTCGAAATTGCAAGAACTCTCAAGAAAAAATGCAGCAGCAAAGAAGATTCCAAAGTTTCTAGCATCAAAAATTTACAACCTTAATACAACAGTTAAAGAGAAGCTCGATAAGAAAATATTTAACCATAAAGCTGGAAACTATTCGATATCTACTATTGGATATAATAAAAAGTTAATTGTAACATATTTTACATGCTATTTGCTGACTCTGTTCCATTATATTACCATATATATCTTTTTGAAATCTAAAAAAATTTTACGATTTTAACCATGTGTTGTTGAAATCATATATCAATCTTAGCTAAAGTATAGTTTATGAGTCTGTCACCAACTAATGTATGAATTTTCAAAAATGTCAAATATGTTCATTTTTTCTGTATATTCAGCCATAATTTCATGTATTTATACTATTCAACTATTATTTAATATTTTTATCGATTTAAATATATGATAAGATGCTTAGTTCTCCCGGAAAACGATTTTTAATCACAATTTTAACTTTCCAAAAAGAATTCGAAAATAAAAATTCCTCTCAATTTTCTAAATTTTCTAACTAGCCAAATCTCTAGCCAAATTTTTTTTGGCCCGTATAAATATTGTTAGGCACTATATAGGGATGCTATTTATCCTATTTTCATCCCATTTTACTGTTATCGCCTAGTGAATGTACCTTTTTAAAAGGTTGATAAAATTTATAGATCGTATGTCACTTTTCAATTTTTTTGAGCAGTGTTTGAAAATGAATATTACTGACTTTCAGAACGAAAGTCATTTATATGTTTATTCAGACATCAAAGCAACATTCGTCACTGACTTTATTTTCGCAGCCCTTTTCATTATTTTCGGCATCATTTATTTACTATTTACAATTCGTCAAACCTGCGAAGAGAAGGGCGAGGTTGAAGGTCAGTTCGAGGCACAAATCTCATACATTACAGCGGTTTTCTGCAAAGGCTTGGGGTTATTTATTACGGGCTTATTTTTGGCCATAAGAACGCCTAAACCTGGCAATCATGATTTCTGGGATCGGTACTCTGTCCTTCCAGGCGGTATTCCAGGTTATGTAACAGCTATTGCCTATTGCTTTATTTTCTTTTCCTGGTGCTCCGTTTGTTTTGACTCCCTTGAAAAAGATTCAGTTAAATTTTACTCAAGAAGCAAATGGGTATTGATGACTTTGATTTCCTTGGTTTGCGTATTTTTCACGATCTCAATTATTTGTATGCTTACAATCAATCCGGAAACATTCCACAAGGTAGAGGCTACAATAGCCATTTTACGTGATCTTATTATCTTCTTCTTATTCTCACTTTACTTAAGAAGAATTTTCAAACTTTTCGAAGAGCCTTGCCCAGGATGGAGCTCTCCAGAAACAAAATTACTCTTTATCTGTATCACCCTCATCGTTTCTCTCATTATTCGTCCAATAAGTATTGGAATTTACACTTTATGGATTTATCCACCAAATCATGACAAGAGAAGTGAATTTGCTACAACTTATTTAATCATATACCTAATAGAAATACTCATAACTGAAATTGTTCCAATTGGTTCTATTGGCATTACAAGACTCACAGGATCAATGCAGAAAACTGCAAAGAGTGAGGATGTAGCACAGTTCCTTGCTATTAGTTAACTTTTTTATTAATAAAACTTATGTTATTTTTTATTATTAAATTCAAAGTTTTTTTTATCATCAAATATTACATAAATCGTCCATATAATTAAGTTGATGTGGTTAAGATTCGATCTCATTGTTGATTATTCATTTCACATTTCAAATAAAGTAACGCGAACATGTAAGACGCTGACATATAAAAGCTGGAATGATAGCCAATAATTTAGTACAAATAGGCAAACCCAAATTTTAGCTAAAAGTGACAGGAAAAAAAACGTTTAGTATTAAAAAAAAGACCGATGAGAGCTTCGTTCGAAATATAGAGGGAACTGAGAATGCGCAACCATTCTCAGGGAATATTGGATGCTATTCCCGTTCCCTCTGTATGGAAAATTGAGGTTTTCAAAGGGAGTTAAAATAATATCAAATTTATACTAATTTACTTCAAAATACAAAAGTATTTGACAGCTAAAATTAGTTACTTTAGCAAGCCTATCAATACCCTTTTACGATTATTGTTACTTTTTCGGAATAAAAGTAAAAACAAATTTATACTAATTTACTTCAAAATACAAAAGTATTTGACAGCTAAAATTAGTTACTTTAGCAAGCCTATCAATACCCTTTTACGATTATTGCTACTTTTTCGAAATAAAAGTAAAAACAAATTTATACTAATTTACTTCAAAATACAAAAGTATTTGACAGCTAAAATTAGTTACTTTAGCAAGCCTATCAATACCCTTTTACGATTATTGCTACTTTTTCGAAATAAAAGTAAAAACAAATTTATACTAATTTACTTCAAAATACAAAAGTATTTGACAGCTAAAATTAGTTACTTTAGCAAGCCTATCAATACCCTTTTACGATTATTGCTACTTTTTCGAAATAAAATAAATTTATTATCAAAAACCTTTTTTTTTCTTAGTAAAAATAAAAATGTTATTTTATATCAAGTTTTTATTCATAAATTTTTATAATGTTGTATAAATTTCATTAAAATTTACGTACATATTAAGGTACTTATCTTCTACATATATAATCTTCATTAGATATATACATGATAAATAAAATTCATAAAACATTAAAAATCAAAAAATTAGATGAACCTTGGCAATTAAACTTTATTAAATAATAGTTGTTTATAAATTATATTATATTATTATTTAATATTATTTTGATAATGAAGATTTTATTTTGCAATAATATAAACGAAATTTTTTACCTTATGAACTTTTGATGGAAATATGCAAATTTAAAATAATAAAGAAAGCCGCGAGCGAAGCGATCGGCTTAGTTCGAAGATTTTGATTCAAATCTTTGCTGATCTGTAATTCGCGGAAGCCGCGAGCGAATCGAGCGGCTTAGGTCTAAGATTTTGATTCAAATCTTTGCTTATATTCCTTAAATTCTTTATGAAACTCGCAACAGTTCCATAAAAAATTTTAAATTCTAAGCTGTCGAAATTACCGATCGGTAATCACACCCTTCACGGGTGTGTCACTTTTTACAGGTGTGTCACTTTTAGCTAAAATTACCCCTACTCACTTTCAAAAATGGAAGCGAACTTTTCATCGTCTGAAAGTATGGTGATTTCAAACACTCGGTAGCTGTTGGTCTATCTTTAGGGTTATAGCTAAAAATAGCGGTCAATAAGTCTATTAATTTAGATTCCGTATTTGGAGGGAAAAGTAGCGTCAAATCTGTTGTTCTTTCGGCAGTTGGCCATGGAAGAGGATGCTCGAATGAATTTGCATCTTCTTCGCTTGGACAACCCATAATATTCATTATTTTAACTACTTGATCATTATTATCATCTCCGGCAAATATAACATTGCCGTCTAGTAACATTTGTGCTATCACACAGCCTGCCGACCATATATCAATTGAAAAATCGTAATGAGTACAGCCAAGAAGGATCTCAGGAGCTCTGTAGAATCTCGATCCTATATCTGCAGTTGATTTATCACCTTCTTTGATGTTTTTGGCACTTCCAAAGTCACAAAGTTTTAATGTATGAGCTTTTGGGTCGATAAGAACATTATCTGGCTTAAGATCTCGATGACATATGCCGAGACTGTGTATATATTCGAGGCCTTTGAAGAGCTGCTGTGCGTAATGCTTGATAGATTGCTTAATCATTGGTCTTTTCGTTGTTTTACAATTTCCTAAGAACTTTCCGAGAGATGTTGGCATGTATTCCATTACTATATATTGGAAAACTTCGCCTTCATCTGCTTTTTTTCTGTAAACTGATTTTAATTTTATACAATTCTGATGATCGAGTTTTTTCATGATATCTGCTTCTCTATTTTGAAATTTTGGGTCAATTTTGATTGTTTTGATTGCGATCATTTGCCCATCTTGATCGAGAGCGCTAATTACTGTTCCAAACGCTCCCTGTCCCATTTGCATTAGGGGTTTATATGTAAAATGTTTCTTTCCACCTATAGTTGTGGGCCTAGAATGGAACAGCCGGCCTGGATTACCCAGGAGAGGCAAGGTTCTAAGCGCCATTTGATTTTAAGAAAAGTGACAAATTTTAACAAGATTTTACATCATGCTTATAAAAAGTAAAGAAATCAATGCTTACACCATTTAATTTTTTCTGTGTTAGAAATTTTGAGAGACATCAATAAAAATTTTTCAAATTGAATGAATTCTTTTGCTCAATCATCTAATTATATTGTTATTAGCAATACTTTTTCACTTCGGATGGAACGATAAAATCGGTTTTGAATGTTCGGCCTGCCAAATCAAAACAAAACTGATTTTTGAGTTTCTTTCAAAAAAATTTTCAATTACGATGATTAACATTAATTGCATATACAATGACTTGTTAAGAAACATCAATAACCTATAAAAAACCATAAATTTATGATCGAATACAAGAAAACCTGCTGAGCTCTATTGCGTAATATATTCAAATAGTACCATTAAATGTAACATGTTATGTTTAAGCTTTGATTATCGAACCCGATTTTCATTTCTTTCAATGTAATTGAAAGAGCTTTGGAGGAATATATGTATATATATGTTTAATAGGGATGATTGCAAAAAGTCCATTAGCATATAATATAATGCTTATATTTAGTAAAATTAAAACATTTCAAGGGTAGATTTCGAGAAAAATTGGCTCATTTAATGTATCTTTTGGAAAATAAAAAATATTATTATTAATTATGTGTGATACTTGAAATATATTCATAAAATCAAGTGATTTGAAGTGATTGGCAAAAAATCTTGTTCAATTAAGCATTTTAGTGGATTCGTCAAGGTAGTGAAGTGGAAATGCAATTTGGATAATTGCCGAGACATTTGGGATATGTGAATTTAATTTTGTAAAAAATGTCAAATAAAAGACTGTTCTCGTTTTACATTTGTAAAGCTATAAAATACTGAATCTTGCTTAAAAGCCCTTGATACAAATTTTGTTCCTGATGAAAGAAAATCATATGATGAAAACATTAAATTTTATTAGCTTAATTTGAAGATTGATGGATGCATTTGGCCAGAAGCATACACAGGATATCCATGGCAATGACACCATATGCTTGGCAAACATCATACATGCAACACTCAAGTTGAATGATTTCAAGCGTGCCTTCACCCTTGATCGAAGATTGACGATGAAACGCAGGATACAAACATTTTCGACAGGCAGCGAACACTGTCGACGAGTACACAGGGTGTGGCTAGGCGTAATGTATATGCTGTTCTGCTCTCCTCTTCAGCACGGCCGAGGAAGACGACGACATCTACGATACGCTCGTCAGGAGAAATGAAGAAAAGTACAACACATACTATACAAAGCTGCCAACCAAGACAAACATCTTATGAATAGGCTTATCATACATCAAACAACAGTTCTGGTTTATCCACACATGTTTCTGCTTTCTTCAAATTTTCAATACTTTTTTTATCCTCACATCAAAAAACATCTTTTCGGCATCCTCTCAATCAGAAATCATTTCGTACTCATGCATTCTCTGCTCCATATGCTCATTGCTCCATTTTGTCTCAGCATCATCACTCCTATTGTGGTTTTCATCTTCGCTTTCCTCTTCGAGGTTTGAGTCTGCAGTTATTCTTATTCTCTGTATCACATTTCGCGTCTCATCCTATTAGGAGTGGTTGTTCACTTTTTCGTTGTCGTTGCAGGAAGAGTCGATTTCGGCAAACTTTCTCCTAATATATATAATCATTTATAGTTGCACCATGTGAAAGAAGAAGTTCTGCCAATTCTTTATTATTGTATTGTTCTGCAATATAGAGAGCGGTATTTCCATGATTATTTTTTTCATTGATATTTGCACCATGTTCAATAAGAAATTCTGCTGTTTCTATTTTATTATATTGTGCTGCGATATGGAGAGCAGTGTTTCCTTCTTTATCTCTTTCATTGAGATTTACACCATGCGAAAGAAGAAGTTCAAATATTTCTTTTTTATTATATTGTGCTGCGATATGGAGAGCAGTTCTTCCATAGTTATCCTTTTCATTGAAATTTGCCCCATGCGAAAGAAGAAGTTCAAATATTTCTTTATAACAATAGTCTGCTGAAATATGGAGAGCAGTTCTTCCATAATTATCTTTTTCATTGAGATTTACATCATGTGAAAGAAGAAGTTCTGCCATTTCTTTTCTATTATGTGATGCTGCAATATGGAGAGCGGTATTTCCTTGATTATCTTTTTCATTGATATTTGCACCATGTGAAAGAAGAAATTTTGCTGTTTCTTTTTTATCACTAAATGCTGCAATACGGAGAACAGTGTTTCCATAATTATCTTTTTCATTGATATTTGCACCATATGAAAGAAGAAGTTCAGCTGCTTCTTTATTATTATTTTCTGTTGCAATATAGAGAGCGGTTTTTCCATCATTATCTTTTTCATTGATATTTCCACCATGCGTAATAAGAAGTTGAATTAAAATTTTTCTATTATGTAATGCTGCAATATGGAGAGCGGTGTTTCCATGATTATTTTTTTCATTAATATTTGCGCCATATACAAGAAGAACTTCCATTGTTTCTTTATTATTATAAAATGCTGCAATATGGTGAGCGGTGTTTCCATCTTTATCACTTTCATTGCTATTTGCACCATGAGAAAGAAGAAATTCTGTCATTTCGTTACTATTAAATTTTGTTGCAATACAGAGAGCGGTTTTTCCGTCTTTATCTTTTTCATTGATATTTGCGCCATAAAAAAGAAGAAGTTCTGCAATTTCTTTATTATTATTTTCTAATGCAATATTGAGAGCAGTTTTTCCATAATAATCTTTTTCATTGATATTTGCGCCATAAAAAAGAAGAAGTTCTGCAATTTCTTTATTATTATTTTCTAATGCAATATTGAGAGCAGTTTTTCCATAATAATCTTTTTCATTGATATTTGCACCATATGAAAGAAGAAGTATTAATGTTTCTTTATTATTATTTTCTGCTGCATAATGAAGAGCGGTATTTCCATCTTCACCTTTTTCATTGATATCTGCGCCATATAAAAGAAGAAATTCTGTAATTTCTTTATTATTATTTTCTGCTGCATAATGGAGAACGGTTTTTCCATCTTTATCTTTTTCATTGATATTTGCGCCATAAAAAAGAAGAAGTTCTGCAATTTCTTTATTATTATTTTCTAATGCAATATTGAGAGCAGTTTTTCCATAATAATCTTTTTCATTGATATCTGCGCCATGTGAAAGAAGACATTCAACTATAATTTTATTATTCAATTTTGCAGCGTAATGGAGTGGAGTCATTCTCTTAATATCCATACAATTGACTCCAAATTTATTAGATGATGCAAGTAATACTATACAAATATCAGAATTTTGCGATTTACATGCAAAATGTATAATATTCCTATTACGATAATCGGTTTTATCAGGAAAATCATTGTTTCTGAGAATATCTATTGTTTGTGGAAATGAAGCACACCATGGAACAATAGAATTCTTGTCCTTCTCGAAAAGCAAAAATACGGCCTTTAAGTTTTGATATTTAATAATATATTTAAAACCATCAGATGTTTTGATGTTTTGAATCCATTCTTCAAATACAAAATATTTATATTCAATGATATATTCAAGCATTTCATTATTATGTGAACTTACAATGTATTTGAGACAATCAATGCTTATTTCATTATCTTTCAAACATTCGTTGATAATATCTGTATTTCGGCCGATTATTGAGTAGCAAAGACAATTCTGTGTTTTTTGGCATGTAAGATTTGAAAGTAAGAAATGGAAAATGTTAACAGATCCAAAATAGACACATGCTTCAATCAATGATAACTTTATAGAATTGCAATCAAATTGTCTTGACATATCAGGAATTTCCAGAAAATATAGTTCTGGCTCTATTCTTTTTTGAGTAATATATTCCTTGAACTTATCAATTTGGTCATGCATAACAATAAATTCAATTGAATCCTTCATTGGGAATTGTCTTGACATATCGGGAATTTGGTATGTTAATGTAGCACCTATATGTTTGAGTATTCTGATGTAATTCTCTCTAGAAGAATAATTGTATTGAAATGCCACGAGGATAATCTTTGTAAGTCACTTGATTGAAAGCTGATACTTCGTAATCAAAACATTTGTAATCATATTGCACATATCTTCAATTGATTCGTCATATTTGATTTGGAAAAGCTTTTCAAATGCCTCAATAAAGTCGGCATATTGTTTTGAATAGTCTGGGCCAAGTGAACTTTGGACCATTTGATTGCACTTGACAAATTTTTTTTTCATAATTTTTTCTTCAGGTACTAAAGATTATAGTCCTATGACCATTCTGCAACGGAAATCATGTTACAAATGCTATTCCAATCTTCTTTCTGTATAACAGATATAGAATTTGACGATTTTTTGCGAAATCAAATCTAAAAATTCAAGTATCTTCTTTCTCTACTTGAGTTGCAAATAATAACCTTCTTGAACATGCCATTTCAATCAATATTTAGTTAGTAGAATTCCAATAAAATACGTATTGATTGAAAATGATGTTGTATTTATATATCAACAAACTCATATGAACTAAAACCTGGTCTTTTTTGTAAAACACATGAATATTTATATGTATTTATTCAACAGCTTATTTTCTATAAATTTAAAAATTAATATTCGAATTAATAATGATTTGCAGATCCAAACTAACATAAATATTTTTACATACTATTATTATTTTAATATCATACATTGATGCACCTGAAATTCCTTCACAAACTTCATAGTGATGAATGTTTGAAAAAAGGGAAGAAATAATGAAGCGTATTTTTTTAATGAAATATGCATGAAAGCTATATAAGTACATATATCTTATTATAAATGCCTAAATAATCAATTGGACGTTAAGAAATTTTTTTATTCAAAATGTCTTCAGCAACATCAGATCTACTTCACAAGATTGATGGTGCTTTACAGACAACTAGTTCTTGCCAAGATACTGATGCACTGCTAAATGACTGCTTTCTTTCGAGTCCTTCGGATGATGTAGATATAACAGACTCTACTTGCTCTAAATTATCAGAAGAAAGCATAACATTTACAAAAAGTTCAATATATGATACAAATAATGCATATTCAGTTCTAAAATCATCTTCATTTATTGATAATTCGGACGATTCAGATTTTGATTTTGAAGAAAGTCAAGACAATTCTAGCATTCATATTATTCCGTCTACAGATACAGAAATAAAATCATTTCTTTCTTTATTCAACGCAAAATTCGGTTTTGAAGCTAAAAATTTAAATGAAGTAATCGAATCTTGCAATAAACTATTAATCAAGAGTACAGACCGCAAAGAGAAATCAGAATCATTTACAAAAGAGTCAAAATCTGTTCAGCAACTCGTCGAAAAAATCGAAAAATTAGAAAACGAAAATAGATCATTAAAAGAATCGATCACTACTCTCTCTCAAGAAAAGATTTCTATTACTACTCAACTTACAAACTTACAAAATCAAATTAATTCACTTGATAAAGAAAATACATCTTTAAAGAGCGATAAAGCAAGTGTCCAGTCCGTAGTTAAGCAAATGCACAATATAATGGAAGTACAACTTACAGACCTCTCTAAACTTGGTCAGCAACGTCTTAAGCTCGTTGATATCATAAATAAACAGACTCGACTTATCTCTGATTTAGAAAATATCAAGACACCTCAAACAGTTATCCAACAAGCAGTACAAATTCATGATCAAAATACAATTACAACTCAAGAAAAATCTGAAGATAATTATAATCTTTTAGTTTCTATGTTGAAGGTTGTCGAAGATAATGTATCTGCAGAGATATCTTCTCAAATCAAATTAATTGAAGAAAATTCTGTTTTGAGTGTTCATGAGAGAATTTTATTGATTATAAAGAAGCTTACGAATACAATTGATGAGCAAAATCAGAAGCTTGCTGATAATGCAAGCTCATCAGCTGCAGCTTCCAAGGAAATTTTATCTCTAAAGAACAAATGTTCTCAATTAATTCGCACATTCCAAGAACAACTTCAATTTATTAAGACATTATCATCATCAAAGGATCTACAAACAATTATTTCAGGTGAAAACTTCTCTTCAGAGTTCAAACAAGACATTGTAAGAAGATATTACACATTAACTAAATTTGTTGACGAAGTTATCGGAGAAATATCGGGAGAAAAGTTCGCAGAATCATTCTCTGCTCCATCACAAATCGACCAATCTCATGTTTATGATCTTTTGACAACACATGATATTGATGAGCAACTTGAGACAATATTAGGCAAGATCAGTGATGATAATTATGATGCTCTAGAAGTTATGAACATTCTTGCTGCACAATTATTTATAAACGGAATCTTGAAATCTCATATCTCAGAATTAAACAACAGAATGGCTGTTGTTCAACGTGAAATTCTGATCTCCAAGCAACCACAAACAACAGTCGAAGAAGATTCTTTAAGACTTCTTCGTAAAATGCAAAAACAGCATCTTAAAATACATAATTTCTTAATGAAGATATGCAGAGATGATAGTGGTTCGCTTTACGAACATCTTAAGCGTGCATTTTCAACAATTGCAGAACTTACTCTTTCTCAATCCGAAATTTCAAATTCAGAAAAAGTTGAAGAATCCAAGGACGAGATCCAAAGTAGCTCACAAAGTAGCAGCCAACAACAGGTAGTTGCAGCGGACATCATTTCTACAAGAGAAAAAGAAATCCGAGAAGAATATCAAGATCAAATTAAAACTCTTCTCAAAACAGTCAAGAAACTTGAACAGACAAATACAAAGTTAACACAGAAATACAACGAAGAACGTGAATTCAGGAAGAAAGTATCAAACAAAGTGAAACAAACTTCTGATGAGCTCGAAAAACAGAAATCCATGACAAGAGAAGCTGAATCCAAGGTTATTGCCATAGAAGAAGCATCTCAACGTAGAATCCAAAGCATTGAACAAGAAAAGGCCAATGCAGAAGCAATTATTTCCCAGCAATCAAGTTTGAAGGACCAAATTTTAACTTTAACTGAAAACCACAGAAAGGAAATCCAAGATTATGCTGACAAACTCGAAGCCGCACAGTCAAAGATTAATGCTCTTAGAAAGAAGAACGAAGAAATTCTTTCTAATGTACAAAGAATCAAAAAACAAAGACATCAACTTGGAAATCAAATCGAAAGATTGCAATGCGCAAACAGAATGTTGCAAGACACAATAGACGTACAAAACGCAAGAGTTAAGAGAGACATGAACGACCAGATGGCAGAGATACAAGTACAGCTTGCAACTGCAAACAGAGAACTCTCAAAGCAAACATCTTTGAATGAAGAATTGGCCTCAAAATGTCAGAAATTGGCCAATGATTTAGCAACCGTTTCTGCAGCGAAGAAGACTTGCGAACTCAAACTTAGAACAGCAGAAGAGAGAATAATGATAGAGAAAACAGGATTCCAGTCAAAGATAACCACAAAACAAACAGTTACACAAGCTGCACAGTCCTCAAAAGTTGTTGAATTACAAAAAGAAATTGAGAACGCAACGATCAAAATTGTAGCGTCACTTTTGGTAAGTGAAAAACCGGAAAATCTATTAGATGCCATTGATAAACTTCTTGAGGAACTGACTAGTTTGAGGAACCTGAGATCGAATTACATAAATACAATAGATTCTGTCTCGAGAACACAGAAATTGCTAAATGTAGATAATCAGAAAGAGATTGCAGCTGCTGTTGAAAAGCTGTTAAAGGATATAGAAGTTATGAAGCTAGAGAAGGTTATGGAAACTCCGAAATCGCCAAATAAGAATGATGAAGAAAAACAACAAAGAATGCAGAAAATTTATGAAAATGCACAGAACTCGTTGAGACAATGGGAGAACTGGGCAAGAAGATTAAATGGAGTTATCCATGAAGGCGATACAAAGACTGTTTGCGATAATTCAGAGTTAAGATTAGCATTAGAAGAATGCATCCTTGCTTCTCTTTCACACAGACAGATATTTGATAGAGTAATGTCACTTAGATCTCAAAAATCTCTTCTAATGAGGTTTGACAAAAGATTATTAGGTCCTGCTGAAAGAAATGTAGGAATAAGACAGATAATGATATTAGCTGTTGCCATGAGGAGAATGCAGAAACTTGCAGGCTGTGTTCCTCTTTCTCCTTTCGCTAATTTGAATGTTTGAAATTGTTAAAATTTTATTATATTGTTGTTGATTAAAGAAACGTATTAGTTAAATTCTATGTATTATAATTCTTCAAAAATACATTCTACTATAATATACCCTGAGATACTTTACATTGTAGAAGAGTTTGCTTATATTTAGAAGAGATACAAAATATATTGATTTAACACATTTCATTGAATAATAGCCTCAATAGACTCATATAAGATAATTTCACATAGGAATACTAGGCATTTCAATTAGTAAGGGATTAAATTCAATTAATATAGGAGTCAAATTATAAAACATGATCATGCATTCCATAATTCTCACAGTACTTTAATGCATACACTAAAGCGCTTTGGATAAAAGTAAATAAAAAGTTATGAAAAAGAATTGATCTCTTTATAGTTTAAATAAAAGGTTTTAAATCCGAAAAAGCATATTGAATACATTTTTTACAAAAGTTATATGATTACAAATTAATCAAAATGTAAATTTTAACAAATTTTATAAAAAATTTAGCAACAACCACCTTTTTGTTTCTTTTCTTCAGCATCAACAACCTGAAGGCTTGCATGGCTTCTTCTTGTTGGTCCCGTATTTTGTAATGGAATCGTAGATAAGATTTCTCCGAGACGAAGGAACATTGTCTCGATTCCCTGTCCTGTCTTAGCACTAACTTCGAAGTATGGGCAACCATACTGTTTAGCTATAGCTTCGGCCTGATCGTATTGGACAGTTCTTTGAGATGGAAGATCAATCTTGTTTCCACACAATATAATTTTGATATTATCGCCACGAGAACTTACTAATTCTTTTCTCCACTGTTGCATTTTCTCAAATGATTTAGAATCGGTGACAGAATAAACTAAAATCGCTGCTACAGCGTCTTTGTAATAAATTGGAGCGAGAGAATGATATTCTTCTTGTCCTGCTGTATCCCATAATTGTATATTGATTTTCTTTGAGCCGGCATTCACTGTTTTTTGGAAAAATGCGGCAGAAATCGTAGAACGCATAGAAGGATCAAAAAATCCATCTACCCAACGCTTTCCAATTGATGTTTTTCCAACACGACCTTCACCAAGGAAAACAACTTTATATGACATTGTTGACTTTTAGAAGACGATAGAAAAACCGGCGGTCGATATAAGTCCATTCAATTGAATTTTCCAAATTGTTTTCATTTCGTTTTGTGCACACTATAACATATATTTTTATCTAAATTTGACAACAATTGCGATGGCAAATTTCAGGTTCAGATGGTATTTGTGCGATTGGGACATTATTATACGCATGACAAAGAAGTACTCTGATGATCTGTTCAATTTTATATAGATTCTAAAGAAAATAAAGTCTATTACCAAAATTTTCAAAAAATCTAGTGTTTTATAATTGAAGTAGCGCAAAACAGGGTCAAGGAAAGGCTTTTACTAAGGAAGTCAATTTGGAAAATTGTTTTCACTTTAGGAGAATATAATTTTCCATTTGGAAAATTTAAAAAGTGAGACGCGCAGGATTCGAACTTTTTTAAAAGTTGATTTAAATGAATTTTAGTGTGGAATATAAGGATAATATCATATTTAAAATAAGAATATACTAGTTTAGGTGGTATTAATTTTTTCGATAAATTTGAGAGTATGTACGTTTAGGGCATGAAAAGTGTCAATTCGCTCAGCGAAAGCTGAGCTAGCTTCGTTCTCGAAAGAATAAGGAAGGAGTGAAGGAGAATGATACAGAAGTTGACACATTCATATCATTTCAACAAATTTTGATCAAATTGAAATTCAATAAAATTCAATTCAATTCATATCCTTCAGTCAGTACATTGATATCCTTCTGCATCACAATGATAACTCGGGCATCAATAGTTCTACAACTAACTCAGAAAAAACAAGATTATTACTTCCTGCTTACAGCTTTTAAAAAGTTTCGATGATAAAAATCACTCTACTCTCGTTTATCGACATATGGTGATAGTAGGTAAACATATTCTTATCGATATTAATAAAAATATTTGTACGAAAATCTTATCCAATTAGAGAGTTATTCATAAAGTATATGATAATTATAATTACTTTATCTTTGTTTTATCTTTGAATAAACAATTTAATTTAAATTGCATAATATTTTTTGGTTGAAAGACAGGAAACTTAGTTGAGTTTGTATTATTTTTATCGTTTAATTCATTGTATCAGTGAGTGATCCAGATATTTAAGATATTTAGAAAAAAAAATTATTAATTTGATTAACAAATTTTAATCAAAATAGCAAAAATCTATTTGATAGCTGTAAACAAACAATAATTTTTATTTCAAGCAAAATCACTTATTTTCATCTAAACGTATAAAATTGTCAATTTTATGAAAATAAATTGAAAATCTCATGAAATGTAAAGGAGAGTAATATTTTTCAATTTTCTTTTTTCTTTGTCTCAAATATTTTCTGTTGGGAATTTTCTTGTTATCAAAAAATAATTTTAATATTTGTTTATTTCATTACATACAATAAAATTTTAAAAACTCTATTTCTTCTCAAGAAAATTTTTTTCCTTCATATGAAGAAACATTTTGTTCTCCATTTGATACTGAGTCTAAATCTCGATTTTTGAATTTTCTTCTTTCCAAATTTTGCAAATTACCTCAGACTTTTCAGAGGATTGAGTGGCAACTCAATCCTCTGAAATAGTCTGTGGTAATATTTAGTCTCTACACTATTTCAATATAAGCTCCATTTTTAAACAGTTTTTAAAAATCGAGCATTGAAAAGTGTGATGAGACTTCTTTTTTCCAAATTAGAAGTTTAATTCAAATTTTCAATAGTTTATATATTTTCTCAAACCGTCTCAGATTTTCTCACTTTTTAGGGATTTTCTCTCAAAATATACAAAAATAGTAATATCAATACATGTGTCTAATATACTTTAAAACCATCGTGACAAAATTCAAAAACGAAGAGTTCTTCTCTCCAAATTTTTTTCAAAATCAAAAAAATGAGATAAAAAAGTACGTTTGGAAAATTCATTTTTAGCATTTTAGGAATTTTCTCACTTTTCTTCCAAATTGACATCCTTACTTTTACTTATTTTTATATAAAACTATCTCAGATTTTTATGAATTGCTTATTTTGAAGTGTTGAATCATACAATGCCAGCCAAGTTACAGTAAAAGGCCACTAATCTGACCAACATAAGAAGTGATACTTGATGTGATATGCTGGCACAATTTTAATACTCGTTATTACAAACACAAATGAAACAAGCACAAAAGAAACACAGGCGAAATTGAGTATAAAAGTTAGAAAAATGACCTTTTCAGTTTATTTTTTTGAAGAAAATAAAGATGCAGAAGCAGTTTTTGCAAATTTAGAAAGATAAGATAATTTAATCGACATTCCTTTTGGGGCGTTGGAACAAAATTTCATGTTAAAATATGAAAAATTATTAAAATCGTAATTTCGTGTTTCATTTATAAATATAACATTTCCTGATCCTGCTGTTGAATTATTATCAACATATGAATCTGAAATAGTCAAAGGGTAACCTTCATATTCTTGCTTAAACATGTAAGCTGCAATGTTATTTCTAAATATGCAGTGATCAACATTTACTGCGAAACAACAATAAAATAGAACTTGGTTATCATTTGTTTCGCATTTATTTCCAATAACATTGCAACCATAAACTGTTTGATTAATTGATTCATCAAAACAAATAAATCCAAGTGAATTACTTTCAGTTTGGTTGTTTTCTCTGAATATTGAGTATTCACATGCACATTTATTTTCAGTGAATTCACTTTCTATTGATGAATATTGACTGCATTTGTTGTATGTGCTATTTATACGGGAAATAATTATAGAACCACATGCAACAGAAAATGTATAAGCTCCTTTTGTTTCATTTTCTCCGCAATTATAAATAGAAACATCAATAGCCTGGTTTAAATGAGAAGAATAATCTGAAACTATTTGCCAAAATGTCATATAAGAGTTAGTTGCTTTTGATTTATAGTAACATGTTCGCTGTTGAACAAACTGTCCATCACCTTGGCAGACATAGTAAACATATCCACCATCTAAAGTGGAACTACAGTTGTAAAACACACATTCTTCAATTAATGTGCATATGTGGTCATTCCTTTGGATGTAAATAGCACCATTTTCTTTGCAATTTTCAAATAAACAATGATGAATGTAATAATTGGAAGAACTTGAAGTATCAAACAACGCTGTTCCATCATTTGTTTTTTCGAAATCAATTGTTTCAGCCAAAAAGTATTGATCCCATGAGAATTTTCTTTGGGCGTAAAAAGCATCTTGATCTTTGAATAATTCAAAAATATTATCATTTGTAGTACTATGTAGTGATGATGCATTTTGGGTCTTATTAATTTGCGGAATATTTCCAAAATATTCTGGCCAGTCGCTTCTTCTTGAATTTTCCAAACTTGAACTTAATTTTGATAATACCTGGGTGTCGGATAATACTAATTAGTTGATAATGATAAGTTATTGTCTTGGGTTGCAAAAGTAAACAATGATTTGTAAGAGGAATTATGAATTTTGAGATTAAAAATTGAATGCAGGGCGATTATTCATTAGAGATATCTTTTCTGTATATTTGAATTTATCCCGTTTTTCGATTTATATTATAGTGAAAAAATTAATAAAAGAAATTGTAATGGTCCCGTAGTGTAGCGGTTATCACTTGGGACTTTGAATCCCGAAATCCAGGTTCGACTCCTGGCGGGACCAAAATTTTTCTATTTTCAAAACCTATTCATCATTGAACCTTTTTATTTACTCTATATTATCACTATTGTATGAATCTACTAGCATCTCATTTTAAATTGCATATAAATCTATATTTCTTGAATCAAATAAAAATGTATTTAATTTCAACCATGAAATAATGTCTAACTTTTTACTAAACAAAAAATAAACACAATTTTAAGATAAAATTAGTGAAAAAATAATTAATAATTTCAAGCAAAGGATGTTCTCAAAGGAGGTGGTCTTTTCGAATCTATTTTCTTAGGCAGAGGAGTTATTTTTCTCCTATTATCTTCTAATATCTGTCTCTCCACATTTCCTTCGAAATCTGGTAAAGGTGGTGGTGGTTTCTTCTTTGGGGGCTCTTCAATTGAAGATTTCCTCTTATGATGTCGATGCCCATGATGGTGGTGATGTTTGTGAGCTTGTCCAGATGGGTCAACCGTTCTAATTGTGATTACATCTGAAGTTTTCTCAAGACCAGGGTCAGGAATAGGCAGTGGAGGTGCTTTAATAGTTTTTTGAGCCGATCCAGGTGATTTTTCTTTAGAAAATAAGTTGAATTTCGGAGAATCAACTAAAGATTTCGAAGGTTTGATAACAACAGGTAATTCGTCATCATCATCTTCTTCCTCTTCATCTTCGCTCTTACTTATTTCTTTTTCATATACAAAAATATTCTTTTCTTTTTCTTCATCAATTTTTGTCACTTTTTTGATTCTTAAATCTTTTTCATCTTCTTCAGATTTTTCATTCTTTTCTTCTTCCTCTTCTAGATCATTATCATCAACAAAGATATTACTTAGCGATGAGCTACTTTCTGGTATATCACTTTTTACTGTTTGATGTTTTTCTTCTTCCTCTACTTCTTCTTCATTTATATTTTGTTTATTTTCTGATTCTTCTTCTTCAAAATTTTGTTTGTTTTCGGATTCTTCTTCATCAAAATTTTTAACAAATTCGTTGAAGATTTGGTTGTTTTCGCTTTCTTCTTCATCTGAATTCGAATTCGAACGTGTAGAAAGTTCTTCACTTGAATCAGATGATTTCGCTTGACTTGGCTTGAAATTGAACGGATTTAATGATGAAGGAACTTTATCTAGTTGTGGAGCTTGTGATTCTACTTCTGATTCTTCTTCATCATCACTGTTTTCGCTTTGTTTCGGTGTCAAATTTGAAATTTTAATTTCTATTGGATTTTTGACTGAACTGCTTCTCTCTTTTATTGGACTGTTGTCGCTTTTTGTTGATGTACTATTTGATTTGTCACTTTTATTTGATGTTTTGATTGGAGTGTCACTTTTTGAAGATGAAGAAGAAAATTTCGATTGAATGAGGCTTATAAAGACGAATTCTGGGTTTGGCTTGGAGCTTCTTGATCTAAGAGGTGATTGGACAGAGAACAAAGGAGATATCTGAAGAATAACGCGTGGACCGCATACACTTGAGGAAAATGAAGAATCATCCCTGAAAATATCGGTACTGATAGGTAAATTAAGGTCTAATTCATTCTTGTTCTTATGGTAATGATATTTACGTGATGCTTGGCTCTTTACATCGTTCTGTGTTAATTGAAGAATTGGGGCAACAATTTGCTGCTCAATCTGTAGTTCTTTATGAGTTTCTTCTGGTATTATATTCGGTTGTATCTGTAAATTATCTTCCATCGTTGATGTTGACTCTGATTTCGTTGATGAACTTTCAAATCTCATCAAATCTATTTTAATTTCTGGTTTTTGTTCTGTATTTGTAATAGGAATCTGTAAAGGAGGTGCTGGTGTCAAAGATGCCGAGATCTTTGGTTCAGGCTTTAATAAAGGAGTTTCTTGTAAATCGGGAACCTTTCCGAGCTTTGGAGTTTGGAAAGATTTCTTTTTAGATGATGATTTCTTTGATTTATGCTTGCTATTTTTCGTTTTTGTGTTTCTTCGGGAAGATGATTTTGATTTTTCTGATTTAAGAAGATTTTGGATATCAGGAATTTGATTATCTGCACTTTTTACTGCTGTTGGTGATGGATTTTTATTTATCGTTTGAGATTCTGTTTTATTACTTTTGAAATCTGAAGAAATTTCATCAAGTAAGCCGCTTGCATGTGTTTCACTATGCATAAGTCTCGGTGGTTCGACATTTGTCAAAATCCATCCATCTAATAGTAGTGGTCTCAATCTTGGCATTAATTTTTCAACGGCTAATAGTTCTTGCTGGGTAACTTTTTGTCCATTTATCTCAGTAAGTCCCGGTCCAAATATTATTATTGACATAACACGAAATCCTTGATAGTATGAAATCGGCGTATTTATAATGTTGAGTTGTTTCAGTGTAGGTTGTCTTTGTGAATTTGCAAATGAGCCTATTTTAGTTCCTTCTAGATTAAGGGCTTCAAGGAGTGGTAATATTGGTAAAGTTTCAAGGGAAGATAACGGATTAAATGAAAAATCGAGTGTTTCGAATTGAGAAATTTGCATAAAAGGAGGAAACTTCTCTAAATTCTTCTGGCTGAAATTTCCATCAGTCAAAGATTCTGAAGAGCTCGATGACTTTGGATTCATAAAACCAGTTTATAACGAAAAAGGTGACAAATTTCTAATAAACCTATATTAATTTATTAAATTATATTGTTTATTGAAATAACCTCTAATTTAGATTTTTTATTTTGGTACCCATATGACTTTAAGGGTGCACACGATAGGATCATGTAAACTTCAGAATTTAGAACCTTATTTTTAGGCATTATCTTGGCTACCTATTTAGGCTCGAAAAGCAAAAAATATCAAAAAATACAACTTGAGTCCATTATGACCCTTTCATGGAGGTAGTTTTTATCCGCTAGTATTTTCCCTTTGAATCTCTTTACAATTCGAAATCAAATTCAAACCTCAGTAGAAGAAAGGAAAAATCGACTTACTACGGTTGTAATACGAATAAATACATATATTTAATTATTTTTATTTACATAATAATTGTTTGAAGCTCATATTCCATCAAATTTTTAAATAAAAACATTAAAATGTTGAAAATGTTCATATATTTTAATAGGGTTTTGGCACTTTATTGAGGAATTACTACATATATAGTCGAACTGAACTTGATATTTTGAAATTTAAATTATTTATCAAAATTAAAATTTAACTTGAAATTTATAATTATTTAGTCATATTTTGCATAATTCTAAGTAGATTTTGTAAAAAATCAAGAAAGAAAAATTTTAACGTGCTTTATTTTTTCTTTTTTATAATAATACATATTATTATATAATTAACATATTCATAATGTTTCACCCTTTCAAAAATATAATCCTCCTCCTCTCAAATAAACGTACATACGGGTGGCCTCTTTTTTCAAAAAATTAAAATTTGAAATTTTGGGCTCAAATATTAGAGATTTTTTCAACCTTCAACGATATATGTTGTCTATATCAGACCTCCTTTCTTTTTGATACTTAACATTGTTCCTAAATCTTAGCAGTTAAGGCTGTTATGAATCTATTTTTCAATTTTCTTTTTTTCTTTGTCTCAAATATTTTCTGTTGGGAATTTTCTTGTTATCAAAAAATAATTTTAATATTTGTTTATTTCATTACATACAATAAAATTTTAAAAACTCTATTTCTTCTCAAGAAAATTTTTTTCCTTCATATGAAGAAACATTTTGTTCTCCATTTGATACTGAGTCTAAATCTCGATTTTTGAATTTTCTTCTTTCCAAATTTTGCAAATTACCTCAGACTTTTCAGAGGATTGAGTGGCAACTCAATCCTCTGAAATAGTCTGTGGTAATATTTAGTCTCTACACTATTTCAATATAAGCTCCATTTTTAAACAGTTTTTAAAAATCGAGCATTGAAAAGTGTGATGAGACTTGCAAATTTAATTCTAATAAAATTGAATTATGATATACGGTTTGATTGAATACCTATTCAATTTTGTGATGAAAAAAGGAAATAAAAGTATTGAAAAAATAAAAATTTATATTAAAGAATATCGGACGACCATTTAATAATAATGATATAGATGATGAATAAAACATAATTGGCAATTTTAAAATGCAAAAAAATAGTTCGCCCGATAAACAACAATCATCCCTAGTTAAAAATAACGATAATTCGTCAGACATTAAGATAGTCCACTTTGATGAAGAAATATCTTTCTCAATTCACAATTTTTTCAAATGACAACCATATTGAATAGTCTCAAATTAATTGAATTGTGAGCAACAAAGAAAACGGGATCTAGCGAATAAATTAAGGACAATACTAACAAACTATTAAATCAACGCTCGAATAAAGTATGATAGCTGATTTTATCTATCTACTTTTCATATTGAATTTTTCAATGTAAAAATGAAATATATATGGTATGAAAAATGCAATTAAAATATCTAGAGATTGCCATTATACTCAGAATTCACTATTGAATGGAAAATCACTAGAAATTTTCGCAGCTGATTATCGCGACCCTGATTTATTTATATTTGGTGATGTTTTTTAATATTCCAAAAAATATCCTCTGAAAAACAAAAACACGTTACTTAATTTAAGTTGGGAATTTGCACTTTCGTTCAAAACAAAACATTGCTTATACAGGTAATTGTTTTATTAGATTTATTCGTCAAATAATCAATTCTGCGTGAAGTAATCCAAGCTTTGCATGTTTATTATCTAAACATTTCCTCTTTAATTTTGCTTATAAAATTTAACAAAATTGAAATTATCGATTTCAATTTTTGTGATGACCTTACTTTTCTGTTTTTATCAAAACTTCTTATTGAAAAATCACCGTTCTAACCTCAATTTGCCAAAATCATTTGTTTGTATATAACCACAATGATTTCTATTATTAATTTGAATTTTTATCGTTTTTCACATATTCGCGTAATTATTAGCCAAATCTCACCTCTTTTCTTTATTACAGATTGACTACAAATACAACATATATATGAATTATTTTATCCGACATTCGATATTTCGATATCATGTTATTTCCCAATTTTTTTTGCAGGACTGTTACAAAAAATATTAAGCAGGAAAAATTTGTAACTAAGAGAATTATTCGATTTCCTTAATTTTTTCTTAAAACTCAGTCAAACAAGATTATTGTTGGGAAAAAATTAACGATAATGCTATTGAGCCTTAATGGTTTATTAAATCAATATCGATAGTTGATTATCATTATATCTGATAATTCAAGGAACTTATTTCATACGTGCAAACATTGGGATAATTTAAGGTGATTATTGCATATGCTTCCATTTTCAAAGTGTTATTAATTGGCAATATCAATAATGCATAATTAACCAAAATTCAAATTTCTTGGGAGTATCTCCAACACAGTAAAATTCTCTGAACTCCATACTTATTGAACTTTCAGGTCGATTTGACATAAAAAACAAATAATAAAATCTATTTTCTTAATTCATTCGATAATGATTGTTGTCTTTATGTGAATGTTTTAAAATAAATATCATCAGCTTTTCCTGTCTTTAGAGCTACTTTCCCAACATTTAGAATAAGGTTATTACCCTAAAATTCAGTTATAGACACTTAGGAGAGCATTTAAACCATGATATTTTGGCATATGATAGAGAAACATCTTATAAACATTTTCAGTATGTTTTCCTATAAAATAACAATCTCACATGAAATTACTAAAATATCAAATTTTGATTTTCACTTTAAAGTTGGGAGAATACTCTATAGTGACAGGGTATACAATTTTAACCTTTGTTTTGATTATAAATAAAGTATTGATAGAGATATGAGTTGTACAGAATTATACACGTGTGTTTAATCACATGTAAGTTGTGCAACAATAATGTTTAGCTAGATAGTATATTAGGGAACTGTGATTTATGATCTAATTCAATAAGATGTAAATGATATTCAAATATATTAAATAAATGCGAATGTTAAAGATGTGGAATCAGTTAGTTAATTGTTGTATATAGATATTTTACTGTGATTAATGAATTTTTTAACAATTTAAAATTATCAAATTTCAAAATATGCGCAATGAGATAATTTGAGAGTATTTTGAGAACTGAAGACTTATGATTTAGTGTTTTTGAATAAGCACATCAATATAAAGATAGAAAATAAATTGAGATATAATTTTTTTGAAGGTATTATAAGGGTGGAGGTAGTAGGCTGAATTTTTAATGTTCTATACTTTCATGGCAAATAATTAAATAGAAGTAAAACTTTGTTTTAAGAATTGAAAATTTTAAATAAAAAAGGAATGTTAGTAATGCTAATTTACTTGATTCCGGGGACCCCCCGGTTATCAAATATATTTATTAAAATGGAAAATCTCTCACTTTTCGAAAAAATCGAAACTGCAAGGATTTCCGATTCTCGATATGATAATTTATTTGATTCCGGGGGACACCCCGGTTATCAAATATATTTATTAGAACGGAAAATCTCTCACTTTTCGAAAAAATCGAAACTGCAAGGATCTCCGATTCTCGATATGATAATTTATTTGATTCTGGGGACACCCCGGTTATCAAATTATTTATTAGAATGGAAAATATCTCACTTTTCGAAATTTTTTTAACAAAAATATGGCATTCTTAAATTATAGTTACATGTTATTTCACAATCATTATCATTAAAAAATTCAATTATTCAAGTTGTTTTGTCCCGACGGTTTTTACGGTTATAAAAATGGTTGCGAACTCAATCCATCAGCAAAATGTCGGTTGGGGTGCCCTTCTTGGCCTCCTAAGTACTCACCAAGATACCCTCAGCTCCCGCAAAACACCTCCCTTAGGTGAGCATTAACTGATGACATGAGTTAACAATTCTACAAAATCATCAAGCATGAAGGTTTATGATTTATAAATCAAAATCTCAAAAACTGCTTGACTTTGCAAGTTGCTGTCTTTACCGGTTAGCTTTTTTTGAAGTTTCTTCGCATCTTATATAAGCTCTAGATCAATATTTATCATCAGAATTTGCATCTCATAAAGCACGATATTAATCAAATAGGCAAATTTCATTCGGAGTCTCTCATTAAATGAGAAACTCCGAATGAGATTTGCTCTAAGGTAATGTACTTGTTATGCTTGGCCTAGAAGCAAGGAGGAAACATGTATATGGTTTGTTTATACTGAAGTTATCTGGAATTCTCTCAATTGAGGATTCAAATCCAGATAACAGCAGTATAAGTTAATATTGTTGTGCACCTCAGGTTGTTTATAGGCCCGAGAACGAGAAAAGAATTTATGGTGTGAATTGGCTCGATATATACCTACGCTCTGTAAAAAATACGTTATATTTTCTTTCATATGAGAAAAATGTTTTTCTTTTTTATAATACTATGTGCTTTGTTACTTCATAAATTGTCTATTTTTCTTATTAAAACCTATTTTTTCCGTGTGATTCGGAATCTACGCATTCAAAAAATGCGTTTTCCGCTCTCAGAACGCGAAAATATGAACTACATGACGAGATAATTGAGATTCTTTATCATCAAAATTCAAAAAAAAACATTTTTCTTTTTTCTTTGGCGAAAAATGTGCTTATTTTTTCGAAATTTTCGAAATATGATTTTTTTGGGAGACTTTTAGAAAATTTTAATATGATAAATATGAGTTATTTTATGTTCTCTATTTGAGAGTCTGCTTATTTTTGAGTATCGATCTGCAATTTTCCCAAATGAACGGGGTGGATAAGATCCTAGCCTTATCGTCATCCCAGTGTCAATTTTACAAAAAAAATTCTTAATAAAAATTTTTTATTAAAAAATTCTTATCTTTTTTCATTGAAATTTAAATAATAAAATAAATTTGGCTGTAAAAATTATCAATTATTATAATTCTTATCGAAACACATGTAGAAAAACACTTATCTTTTATACTCTTTCTATTTAAAACCTGTTTAGTTCAGTAATTAATAATAAAAATTGTGAAAATAGTGACTATTTAACTAAAAATATATTAAATGATGTAATAATGAGATATACATATATTTTTACGAATTATAATTAGAAATTATTCTGGTCTGGGAATCCCAACCCAAAATCATTGAAAATTTGAATATATGGGATGGGCTACCCATCCCAAAACTATATTGAAATTTTTGAATTGATAATAAATGTATCTATATCTAAGGTATATTAGAGAATTTTTAAAAATTATGCATTAAAAAATTGAATTTATTCAAAACAAATTGAGAATAAAAATGCTTAAGTAATCACTTCATTATTTCAACAATGATTGATGCAGTACCGACGTACTATAAAGACATTGAGGTCGGTACTAAGCATCAGTATCTTAGATATAAAAAACCAGGCGACAAGTACGGAAAATATTATGTTAAATGCAATGAACTAGTAAAGCGTCCTGACGGAACTATATGCCACTGTGCAATGGAAGAAATGCGTGAGGATCATTTCAAAAAATGGATCCAAAACAAACGGCACATATGCACACCAGGAGAAGTAGCATCACAACAAACAATCGATCAATACTATCAAAACGTCCCAGCAACAGGGCTTACACCTATATCGTTAGGGGATATCTATGAACAGCTTGCTACATTTACTGGAAGATTTAACTTGGCTCTGAATACCTTCTCAAGCCCAGAGTTTACAAAGCTAGTTAAAACCATTATAATGTATACTGCAGACTCGATGATATTGAAGTTCCCACAGTTACACAATGTTAACATCAATGTTGATAAACTAGCTTCTCAAATATACCAGCCTATTTCAACTGACAAACTAAGGCAAACAATGATACAAATTGCAAATTCAATCCATGTTGCAAAAGTTGATGAGTTTGCTAAGCTTGCCTGTACCTGTGTTGCCATTGATGAGGGGAAGACTCAGCAGTTTCACAATCTGGACTTCTCCCTCACAAATCCTCTGCAAAGCAAGCGGCCCTATCCTGTTGAGTCAATCCAAATGAATGGTGGAACATCTGAAGATTATATCCACTCGCTTACTCAAGGATTTAACAGAATCTTCATTAGAGATGTTAAGATCAGCAGTGTAGTTTGCGATGGCAATAAAGCGCAATTGAAATGTTTTCAGAAAGGATGGAATCAATCGTTCTACAACTCAAATGACCCAAGGTTATTCAAAATCTTGTTTATCCCGTGTTTATGCCACAGGATTCATAATTGTTATCAATATATGACAACAAAAGACGTAGCATTAGGAGCAATTGTGAAACATATCCACGAAATATCAGCTCTTTGTAGAATCCATGTTGAAGACATCGGAGCTCTCTGTCCAAAGCATGTATCCACCAGGTGGATCTATGATTATAATATTTGTATGTTTATTATCAAGTATCAAGACAAAATTTCAAGATATACGCGTATTGATATTGAAAACATCAAGTTCTTAAGAGACTGCTTGGCAATTCTCAAGAAGCTTATTTCCACGTTCGAATCAGATAAAACCAAGATATCTGATTGCTACGTATGGCTTTGCAAGGGTATTGAAGCACTCCAATACCTTTCCAGCAGCAACAACAATCCTTTTGCTGGAATCCTTTCAAGATCGTTGTTGAACTATACCCTTGGATCGGACTTTGGAGGTCTTTGGTGCTTAGCCTTCGCTTTTACACCGAAAGGTAGGTATTATTTCAACCAAAAATTCGTCCACGGAGCGCAGATCAACGAATCTCCGGCAATTAATTCATTTGATATTACAAACGTAACTTTCGTTAATCCAGTAGAAGACATTCAATCTATCTATATGGACTCTATCTTTGAAGAAGGTTCGACTGAAGTTTCTCTTGATATGGTTGAGGAGGGATCAATTCGTCAGGTAACTGCTACAATTGACCCTCCTATGCTTGATCTCGCAGATGTAACATCTAGTTCAAATCAGCCGGTTAACCATTTTGTTGCAGCTAGGCAGTATCTCAAAAGTATTTTGGAACAATTTCGTATTCCGGGTCAAACAATAACAGATATTATTACACTATTTAACACGTATATTAATAGTGATAATGATATCTTCTCTGATGATATGATTCAAGAACGTCAAGAATACGGTTGGGAAGAAATCTCTCATAGAGATGGCAATGTATCAATCTTTGCAGATATCGCCCTTCGTGTTATCTCCGCTTCACCTTCAGAAGCAACATGTGAGAGAACAATAAAAGACCAAAGATTGATACTAAATTTGAAAAGATTACGTTCTCACAAAATTTTATTAGATAGCCGAGAAATTTTAATGGCTACAAAATAAATAAATTGTTTTATATTTTATCTGTTCAATATTTATCTCATATAAAAATTTGAAATACTTAATCAAAATTTCTATGCGTTTGTTTGAAAGAGATCGATAGCAATTCATATATCTTTTGAATTTGCTAATTGTGGTGATGGTACTATTATTATTAATTTTTTATTTTTATTTTTTTATTTTTTATTTTTTTTTGATAATATACTATTTAGATTTATACATTCATTCAATATAGGTCAGGTATGAGGGGCTTCCAGGGGCTGCGCCCCTTCTAGCCCTAAGAATTTTGCCCAAGACCCAAGAGGAGGACCGAACCCCAGCCAACCAGCCGGTGACAAAACCAAAACCGTTGTTATTTACATCATATTAATGATGTCACTTTTTAATATGTCACTTTTGTGTCGCTTTTCACAAATTATATATGTTTTCATGCTTTGTCACTTTTCTGTCACTTTTCGGGTAAAAACATTTTTATTATTATATATAAATGAATTTTACAAAACCACCGTTACCGTTCTTTGGAAATAAGAGTAGATGTAAAGATATTATATTGAGAGAACTTAAGAAACTACCGAATGGTCTAACATTTGTAGATTTGTTCAGTGGAAGTTTCTATATATCCCATTTATGTCATACAATATTCCCAGACTCAAAGATTATATGCAATGACTTCGACAACTATATGGACCGTCTCAAACATATTCCAGACACAAACAATATATTGAAAGAGTTAAAAGAAAAGATACCTATAGGTAAGATGGAACGTATACCATTAGATAAGAAAAATATTGTGAGAGAGGTTTTGAAAAAAGCAGAATATATAGACTGGGATAGTATATCTGCTAGACTATTATATAGTGGTTCTATAAGAGTTCATGACATTGAAACACTTATGTCAAAAGTTTTATATCTTAACTATACAAATGTTTTCAAAGAGAACATAGAAAAATATATTGAGGGTATAGAGTTTGTGAGATGTCGTTGGACAGAGTTGTATGAAAAAATAAAGACAAGGAAAATGTTTTCTTTATAATGGACCCGCCGTTCTATAACACATGGGATTTTCAATACCAAGTAGACTGGACTTTGAGAGACTCTTTAGAAACTTTAGACGTTTTACATAACCATCCATGCTTTTACTTTACATCGATAAAAGTGGTTTGGAAACGCGTTATGAGATGGTTAGAGGACATACATGACTATGAGTTTAGATATGACAAGATAGAATATGAGAGAGGTCCTATAAACCGGAGAAAGTGTCATAACAAAGAAATTTTATTAGTAAGTAAATGTGGTTTGAAATAGGACTACTTGTTTTAGGTTTTTTCCATTGTGTCATTTATTTATTTGACGTGGCAGAAAAGTACAGAGAATATGAAGATGAACCAATGCCTGCAAATGTTCAGTATATGTACTCGTAAGAGATATTTTTATCTAATATTAAATGGACGCACAGAACTTAGCGAATGCACAGCAACCTGGACAACCAAACCCAGAGAATATTCCAAATGAAGTTAGAATACAAACTGCAATGGCAAACTATGGTCAAGTGCCAACAGATGTACAAATGCAAACTGCCATGTCAAATGACGCTGCGTTAGGTTTGCCACCATGGTATGCAAATATGAGATGGAAAGAGTTTTATACAAACCCTGAAGTGGGATATAAACAACTTTATGCAGATGACGCGAACACAGGAGTTGACCCAGAATATGTTTTCTACCAGAGGAGAAACAGAATGTATGAGCTCCAGTTAAAGAATGCTATGGAACTCAACAGGAAACGTAAGAGACTAGGTGGACATTAGATTTTTACATATAGTAAAATGGGTTTCTTCAGTAGTATTGGAAACTTCTTCAGAAGAGTTGGAAGAGGTATATGGAATGGAATAAAAACCGTAGGAAGAGGAATTTGGAACGGAGTCAAAAATATTGGTAAAAGAGTAGGTCAGTTCGTTGGTATTATACCTAAAGACCCTGAACCAGAAGAACAAGCTCCTGTTATACAACAGCCTGAACCTGCACCACAGTCTAGTTGGAACCAAATCCAACACCTCAACCGTATTAAAAAATTATATTTTTACCGTTCGATAGTAGTTGTATATGAAACTAAGTTCTAAGTAAAACGCATGGTATAATGGAATTATTCTTTTTCTTCCATCTGTAGTAAACCATACTTGAAAGTCTGAAATACTTCCACTTGGTGGTTCGTATAACTTTGTAGGTTTTTCGTAAAAGTCATTTGCCAAGCATAAGAAAGAGTTTTGGGCGCCAGAAAATGAAGCATGAACAATAATAGCATCTTGGTCGAAAACATTTTCATATGTTCCATTAGGGTTTTCGACTTCATAAAAGTCTGGGTGTACTGGATATGCTGCAGGCTGATTTAACATCCTCATAAATCTATACCATGCCAAGTTGTTATATTTTGTAGAAATATAAACGTTTTCTCCAAGGTCTTCTATTCTATTGATTTTAACAGTTGCATTTTTCCTGTCATAAATAATATCGAGATGGTATTCTCCCTCGTCAATGTTATACTGTTTTGCATATTCGATATAGATATCGTTTATTTTTTCTTGAAAAGCTTGAAGAGTTGTTTCTAAGTTTACAAGCAAACTAACTTGTAAAAGTTTTCCCTGTTCAAATTTCTCATACATACGTTTTTCTTTGTTATAGTATCGAACTTCAAAACCGACCGTAAATGGGAAACCATGTATGGCTTCTGAAATGAACTTCATTCTACGAAAGCCAATAGCTTTTGTGACGGATGGGTCTCTTAACCATCTTAATGGGTAGTCAAAACGATAGCCTTCATGCTTTACGGTATCTGTCTCAAACTTTTGACCGACATTAGTAAAAAGTTCATCTAATGGTTTAGTTGTAGCAACTCTTGAATTTTCTTTTTCTATTGAAAGCATATTTTATCTAGAATAAAAATGTCAAATGAAACAGCGTCTATGAGAGAAATACAACACAACCGACAACTCATTATGCAAGCTCTAAATAAGAACACAACAAACTTTTCAAACTATTCTAAGATATCTGAGTCATTGAAAGAAGGAAACTTAAAACTGACATTAAACCCAATGACAGATGAGTTTCTATTTCAAGACAAGAAGAACAATACTGTCTGTATAAATCCAACAAAAGGAACTTTAAACGAGAAACCTATAAATGAACTTCTTTTGAAAGCAGATGTTGACAACAAAGCTGACAAAGAATATGTCATTGAAAAAGTTCAAGAAGAACATGACAGAGCAGATGCAACATATGCAACAAAAGAACATACTCATCCTGAACTAGCAGACAAAACATATGTTGACAATAAAATGTCAAGTGAAGTGACAAGAGCTGAAAACGAATATTCTAAAAAGACTCATACACATTCTATATCTGAAATAACAGACTTAAACGTTAGCCTTGAAAAGAAAGCGGATAAGGAATATGTGGCTAGTAAGTTAGAGAAGAAAGCAGATAAGGAATATGTGGATGAAAAAGATAATGAAATTAAAGAAAGGGCTGAATGGTTTCATGAATGGACATCGGAGACTTTTAAAGTTAAAGCTGATACAGGATGGGTTTCAGGATGTTTAGACCTTAAAGCAGATAAAACTTATGTTAACGATGAGTTAGAGAAGAAAGCAGATAAGAACCATACACATACAAGTTTTACAACTGTTGCTATAGAAAGTATTGAAGGAACGGTTGAAGGAACTGGTGGGGATGCATTCTATTGTAAACCTCCTAACTTTCCACAAGGTTTAACATCGGATGACGACATAACGACGATGAGAAACATTAGATGTAAAGATGTTTATGTCATGAAGGATGAATATAATATTAAATTCACTGCTCAAGATTTATATGACAAGAAAGCAGACAAAACAGAGCTTCAAACATTAAAGACAGAAATGCTTCAAACATTATATCCTATAGGCTCTATTTATACGTCAATGAACTCAACAAATCCAGAAACAGTTCTGGGTTTTGGAACTTGGACTCAAATAGTCGACAGGTTTTTGTATTGTGCAAACTCTTCAAAGGAAACAGGTGGAAGTAAAACGATTTCAGGTGAAAATTTACCTGCACACAGTCACTACATAGATTTAAGTACATCTCAAGCAGGTTGGCATAAGCATAAATTTTGGGATTGGTCAGCAATGACAAAAGGTAAAGGATATGATGTTAAAGACGACGTTCAGTTTGCTATAAATTGTTTCTGGGGTAACACTCAGGGAGATGGAAACCATACACATCGCGTTACAGGATATACACAAACAACGGGACAAAGTAAAGACTACATGCCACCTTACATGACAGTTTACGCATGGTATAGAATTGCTTAGTCGTCATTTTCAACTTCTTTAGCATATTCGTCAGGAGTTGTCTTATATTTGTTAGGAACTGTCTTTGAAAGTATACCACCTTGAACTTTGACAAGTTTGAAACGAGGTCTGACAATAGTAGTTTTATCTTCTGCTTGCAGTGTGTACATTTTGCCATGTTTGCCTAAAACTTCATAATATTCTCTTGTATACTTTCTTCTATTTTTACGAACACGAATGTGAGTACCTGTCGAGTTCCCATTGTTGTCATAGTCAATAGTATTTTCATATGGGTCGCGTTTAGGTATTTCTATTTTTACTTTGTCACCTTTCTGAAGTTTGAAGCCCGGCATTCTTTCTTGTTTGTCTCTTTTGACTAAATTATTAAATATATAGTCTTTCTCTAAGTCAGGGTTGTTTTTCATTTCTTCGGGGAGTGGTTTCCCAAACCTTTTTGTTTACGGCTATTGTAAATATTTAAAACTTGTCTCATCTTTGCCTGGAGAAGTGTCTATATTTGTCGTCATATGACATTTCATTTGCTTCACCACCTTGTGGTTGGTTTAAGTCTCTTAACATTTTTATACAACCGTCAATGACACCAAGAGCAGAATGGTTTTGGTCGACAATGAAATATTGGTTTACATTTTTTGAACGCAGATAGTTTTTAATATCATCTGATTTGAAAGAACTTTCACAGTCAGATGTCAGTTTTGTTGGATGGTATTTGTCAACGAATATTGTCAAAGCTGCTAAGATATCTAAAATATTTTTGGACTGTAATGGTATGGCTTCACAGTATCTTGTGTTTTGACCGACAAATATTAGCCAGTATGGTGGTCCATCTTCTCTATACCTCGGAATGTTTTCCAAGATATCCATAAACCAAGCATTTGGTGTTGAACTAAAGATTTTTATCCTGAGTGCTTTTTTTGTTGCCTTAGAAACATAGGGGTCCTTGTTTGGATTCGTCATTTTTAACCCATAAGAAATGGGTTTATTTGGCGCATTAGCAGGAGTCGCATCTAGATTTTTGCCCGCAGTGGGAACAATAGCCTAGAGGTGTATTTGGGTTGGAAGGAAGATTTTGAGTACATTAGGTATACTTAAAGAGAAAGCACAACCTATTATACAAACTGTACAGAAAGGTTGGGATGTAGCACGAGATGCAACAAATCTTATTCCAAATCCTGAAACAAGAGGAAAAGTTCAAGGATGGATGGACAATGTAGGAAGACAAGCAGGAAACTATTATAACAAAGCAAATGACTACTATAACCAAGCAGGACACTATATGGACCAAGGTGAAAGATTCTTTAACAGAGGATATAACCATGCACAACAGTGGGTAAACAATAACCAACCTCAACCGCCTCAAACGTGGGGAATGTAAAGTTTTTTACTGAGATGAAATGAACAATACAGCATTGAGACAAATGGGTTCAAGATGGATTTGTCGACTTCCAGCAGTTACACCACGTGTTTGTCAAGTTCTTCCTATACCTCAGGAAGTTTTAGACCGACTTAAAAAACAACAACAACCAGTTGAAAACAAACCAAACTAAAATTTTTTACTGAGATGAAATGACCGAAGAAGTTGAAACGGTAGATTTGACACCACAAACAAAAAGTTCAGAACCATTGTCAAAACCGTCAAAGAACTTACAGATGAAGAGAAAAATTCAATAATAGAAAGTGCCAGGTCTGGAAATACAAACCCTAACTACAAAGTCACTTTTCATAAAAATGGAACGGCTAGTATCTCAAAAAAGAAACAGACTCTCACAAATAAAATATTGAAGTCTGAAGGAGCTTTCGAGACAACAGATGGAAAAGTTTACTTCACTGACCAACAGTTCATTATAGAACATCTCATTGACTTAGAGTCGAAATATTCTAAACTTTACAACAAACACAAAAAGTTGAAAGGAAAACAAAAACAAATGGCATATGATATTTATGAAGATGTTGACGACACAACTGTTCCTGCAGTGAGGTAAAGTCAGAGGAACCGAAAAGTGACGAAAAACCGATAGAAGAAGAAAAACCAAAAACTGAAGATAAACCAAAACCAAAGTTTAGTTTGGAAACTAAACCAAGTCAACCTTCATTAGCTGGTATGGGTTGGCGTCAAAGACTTATGGCAGCAGGCGGTTATGTAAAGTAAAGAAAAAAAATATTTTTTTATTTTTATAAAAATGCCCCCATATAGAATGGATAGAAAGTCTGCTAGAATAAAAGCAGAGTTACAAAGATATGGTTGGAGAGTTTCGAAGAAGTTTAAATTTAGGAAGGGAAGACCCATAAAAGTCTATGACAAATTGTCTGGTCTTCGCTACGAAATGGATTTGGAAACAGCACGTGCCAATTATCCAAACAGACTAGAGAGGTTAGAAGAAGAACGTCTTATGGACATGCCTTTCGATGTTAGTGAACCTCAAGTTGAAGGACACGACGGCTTTGCCAGATTCTACTGGAAACATGACGAACAATTGCATCCTTTGAGAAGGAAAAAAGGTAGTGCAGAGGATGGTCATGCTCCCATGGAAAGAACAAGATATGCATATGAAAAGTATCGTGAAGTTAGAAGTCAAATTACATCTGGTCGAACCTTTACAGTAAACTTTGACGAAGGAAAGAACAAAGAAGGCTTCATGGGTGTACTTGCTGCCATACAAGACGGAAATAAGAAAGGACACAATCTCAGATTGACCATAACAGATTTGGATGGTCACATTTACTATGCACATGGCAATGAACAAACAGCCGCAAAACTTCTTGACGCTTTCAAGACTACAAAGAGAGAACAAATGGTTGACTCCGACTCAGACATTTTGAATGCAATTGAAGGAATTGCAAGTGTCAAGTTCGAATGGTACCAACCTAACCCTCAAGCAGTCAGACAACATGCAGGATACTTCCCGTTCATAAATAAGTCTGACATTGACTTGACAAGGTATGGAATTTACAATTCAATTGAAACAATTGTCAACGAACCTTGCATTCTTACATGTCTCAGGAACTCTGGTCTTGTTACAGAAGAGAAGATGAAGTATCTTGAGTCATGTGTGAAGACAAGGTACATTCTCAGAGGTCAATTGGCAAAAATTGCACCGTTGGCAAATGTCAATATCCGAGTCAACATACCTACAGCTAAAGGTTCTTCACATGACGACTATGTTGTTGAGTTCAATTTACCATGGTTGAAGATTGTAATTGTCCACAACCACTTCATGTTGAACGAAAGTCTTACAAACCCATTGTTCGGAAAAGGCAAGTGCAACATTGTCAGAGCTGTAAACATTCTTTTCGAGAAAGGTTGTTGGAACCAATTCCAGATGACAAGCTGACAGAAACTTTTGTACCAAAAGACGAAACAAACTTTTCACTGTTAGCAAGACCAAAAGTTGTTCCAGACAAAGTTCTAGTACAAAAGAAGTACACAGTTCCACAAGGAGTTGGATTGTTCGGATACCAACCTGAACCAGAAGAACTTCCAATGAGGTTGCAAGAACTTCAAGATGCTATAAATAAACTTCCATTGAGACATCCAATTGACGTCAAATTGTATTGGAGAGCATCTGAGTTAGGTCAGAAGGTTTTATATGAAACAGGTTGCTTCGACGATGTTTATGAGATAACAGGAGAAGTTTCTCAGAAGATAAGAGACTCACTTGAATTTCCACAAACTGGACCAATTGGTTGCGACAAGTTCGACTCAGATGAAAAGATATACTATGTCGACCTTAACGCTGCATACATGAGGTTTGTCCAATATATTCCGACTGGAATTCCAAACGAAGATGGTGAGTTCCCGGGAAGGAACTATACAGTTGGAAAAGTCATACAACAACTGTATGATATTAGGAAAGCTTCAAACCCCAAACTTGCAATGACACTCAAATTGCTTATGAATTCGACATGGGGATATTCCATTAAGAAACCTCAAGAGATGAAGAGTAAACATTATGAGAAGGTCGACAACTTTGTTGAAAGGTTTTCTCCTTTTGTTTTGAAGTACGAATTCACTCAAGGTCAAAGTGGCTTAGTAACCACATTAAAACCTATTGTCGAACATTGGTCTTACCCTCAGTTCGCAAAAGCAGTTCTTGACAACTACAACAAATTCTTCTCCGAAGTCAAATCGAAAGTTGTGGTTTACTATGAGAACATTGACGCACTCATGACGAACGAAGAAGGCTATAACAAACTCATTGAAATGGGTCTAGTCGGTGAAAAGATGGGCTGTTTTAAGCTAGATAAGGTATTTTCCGAAGTTCATGTCCTCTCCAAGCGTAAGTATTGGGGTATACTTGAAGACGGCACAGAAATAAAACATTGCATGAAATAAAAATTTATTTTTCAAAAAAGTGACATTTTTTAAATTTTATTTGAAATGTACGCTGAGTTTGTTGGTGAACCTCAAGTTGAAGGAAACTTGTTTGTTAGATGAGAAATATGAAATGGCATACCATTTTAAAACAATATATTTTTACATATATTAAATGCTTCAGGTTGAAAAACAAAGAACAAAAGTAGCAGATACAAAACCGTTAGACTATATCTTTACAAATGCTGGTAGGACTATTTCAGATGAAGAAATTTCATCCCGAGTATACAGGTTTGACTATCCAATTCGTTGGCTTCAAAGTCCTTCAGATGCAAAGGCAATAGGATTTAGAAGAGTTTTGTTTTCAAATAGAACTAACGCATTTATGTTCGCAGTATATTTTCATGGGCAGTATAAAGGTTCTGATGGTCTAATAGACAAATTTGACGAAATGAGAATCTTTACAGTTCGTTCAGACGAAAGTCTTGAGAAAACTCTAAATGACTTTCAAACTCAAATGAACAAATATTATTGGGAATTTCAAGAAAAATACGACTCTTTACTAAATGGAACATACTATCTGAAACTAGAATATGACAAGATGAACTCCACCGTTTCATTTCAAAAGATTGAAATTAACCCTCCAAGAGATACAGAGTTTTTATTTTGGAAAGTAGACAAACGTTCTTGGCACAATTTCTTCGGTTACTAAACCAGAACGAACCATTACCACCAGATGGTCCATTTCAATTTATACTTCCACCAGCAGATTTGACAGTTTATAGAAACGTGTTTGACCCTCAAAATGTTATGTGTCATGCAAGTTTCAGTTCAAGCAACAATAGTTTTCTATGTATTGGTAAGGACTTTTATGACTTTGCTTCTAAATTCTACGAACCACCTAGTAACAGTTTCTCTGACTTTCAAGTTTGGTTCACAACAAATGGTGTGCAACATATTATTCCATTGTACTATGACTTTTATCTCGAATTGTCTTTCATATATAACTACGGAAAAGTGCTGAAAAAGTATTGAAAAATAATGTTTATGTTAGCATGTTAGATTTAACACGTTTTCTAACCACTTTTCTAACATCGTAGAAAACTCTTGAATTTTCATGACTTCTTCGTAAACTAAACGTAAATGTTTTGTGAAGAATATAGCAACCGCCGGAATTCAGACGGTTGCTTTTTATACAAAATTCATGCGGGAAATTCTTGAGTTTTGGTTGAAAGAATACGGTGGAGCCAAAAGTGGCTCGACCTCAAAACAAGCATTTTATGAGCTTACAAAGGGTGTTACGAATGAATTCAAATGTATTTACATACATCCTGACCTCGTTCATTTTGTTGCTAAATTCAGTAAAAATAATGTTTAGGGTAGAAGGTTAGATCTAACCTGTTTTCTAACCTCATTTCTAACCTCTTGAATTTTCATGATTTCATCGTAAATGTTTTGTCAAAACTTCTTCGTACATGCTTTGTCAAGACTTCTTCGTACATGTTTTGTCAAAACTTCTTCGTACATGCTTTGTCAAGACTTCTTCGTAAATGTTTTGTCAAGACTTCTTCGTACATGCTTTGTCAAGACTTCTTCGTACATGCTTTGTCAAGACTTCTTCGTAAATGTTTTGTCAAGACTTCTTCGTACATGCTTTGTCAAGACTTCTTCGTACATGTTTTGTCAAGACTTCTTCGTACATGTTTTGTCAAGACTTCTTCGTAAATGTTTTGTCAAGACTTCTTCGTAAATGTTTTGTCAAGACTTCTTCGTAAATGTTTTGTCAAGACTTCTTCGTAAATGTTTTGTCAAGACTTCTTCGTAAATGTTTTGTCAAACATGAACGTAAATGTTTTGTCGAAACTTCATCGTAATGAGCGTAAATGACCCAAAAATAATGTTTAGGTGAAGAGGTTAGATCTAACCTGTTTTCTACCCTCTTTTCTACCCTCTTGAATTTTCATGAATTTCCTTAAGACAGAAAAAATAAAGTTAGTTTTATTTTTATTTATTTTTTTATTTTGTATGTAAGAACAAAAATGTCAAACATTGAGTTTGAAACAGTTAGAAAGATAGACAATGACACCAAATTGGTTAGAATAGGTGATTTAAACGTAAGATACTCAAAGAAATACAACAAATATTCTTTGTCAGACATTTTATCTCCATCTGGAAAGAGACCGAAGGACTGGGTTAGAATTGCTTCAACTCAGAAAATTTTGACAAGAAATCCTGAGCTTATGATATCGGTAGCATTTTATGGAACAAGAGCATATCTCATCGACAAAAGTCTTATACCAATAGTTTTGTTATGGTTAGACCCAGTTGTTGGATATAACTTCATAACATATGGTTCATTCGATACGGAACGTTGCAGTGAAGGCTTACTTTACATCGTTCAGAAACCGAAGGACTTCAATACAAAAAGATATAAGATAGGAAGGACATATAATATAACTCAAAGATATGACAGTACAGTCAATAGAGTCAAGGTTGTGTTTGCTAATGATATGAGAGCTGCAGAAACAGAACTACTTGAAAAGTTTGAGAAAATGTATGGTGCTCCCATAAAAGGTAAAGAAACGTTTGAAGTAGATGAGATAGATAAAGCTATAAAATTATTTGACGAAGTTGCTGAAAAATACATGTAAAGCGTTTATTTTTGGTCTTTTGTGAAAGATAGAAAATAAAGTTAGTGTCATTTTTTTGTATTTTTTTGTATGTTAGATATGATTTCAGGGATTTTTTTGACGAAGTGTTACTCTTCACTTCGTCAAAAAATAACAGTTATCTAATGAAAAAGTGTCATTTTTTTGTATTTTTTTGTATGTTAGATATGATTTCAGGGATTTTTTTGACGAAGTGTTACTCTTCACTTCGTCAAAAAATAACAGTTATCTAATGAAAAAGTGTCATTTTTTTGTATTTTTTTGTATGTTAGATATGATTTCAGGGATTTTTTTGACGAAAGTGTTACTCTTCACTTCGTCAAAAAATAACAGTTATCTAATGAAAAAGTGTCATTTTTTTGTATTTTTTTGTATGTTAGATATGATTTCAGGGATTTTTTTGACGAAGTGTTACTCTTCACTTCGTCAAAAAATAACAGTTATCTAATGAAAAAGTGTCATTTTTTTGTATTTTTTTGTATTTGACGAGAATGTCAGGTAGATGGTTAGATCTAACACGTTTTCTAACACGTTTTCTAACCTCTTGAATTTTCATGACTTCTTCATCGTAATGAGCGTAAATGTTTTGTCAAGACTTCTTCGTACATGTTTTGTCAAAACTTCTTCGTAATGAGCGTAAATGACCCAAAAATAATGTTTAGGTGAAGAGGTTAGATCTAACCTGTTTTCTACCCTCTTTTCTACCCTCTTGAATTTTCATGATTTCATCGTACATGCTTTGTCAAACATGAACGTACATGTTTTGTCAAAACTTCTTCGTAAATGTTTTGTCAAAACTTCTTCGTAAATGTTTTGTCAAGACTTCTTCATCGTAAATGTTTTGTCAAGACTTCTTCGTAAATGTTTTGTCAAGACTTCTTCGTAATGAGCGTAAATGACCCAAAAATATAATTTAGGGTAGAAGGTTAGATCTAACACGTTTTCTAACCTCATTTCTACCCTCTTGAATTTTCATGAATTTTCCCGAAATAAAAAAATAAAGTTAGTTTTATTTTATTTATTTTTTTTATTTTGTATGTAAAGACAGATATGATTTCAACATCTATGTTAGTAGAAATGAAAAGCTTCATTCCTTCTTCATATACTTTTGAAACAGAAATCCAGAAGATAAAGCAAGAACTTTTAACAAGTAATTTAGACTGTAGTGCGAAAGATGAAACAAATGAACAGTATCTTTATGAAATGCAGGACATTATTGACCATTTGCCTAAACTACCTGAAATCCAACGACAAAAACTCACTATTCCCGAATTTGACGAAATAGAAGTGAAACCAACTGACTCGGTAGAAATAAAGAAGTTCATACGAAAGGTAAACTATGAATTCCTTGGTTTTCATTGCAACCATAAAGTTATGGACAAAGATTGCAACATGGTATATAAGAACATCTCTGACATATATAAATCGGAGGAGTTAAAGACATACGACAACTTTGTTTCATTAGTTGCAAAATGTGTTTGGGAAATAAGAGATAAAGATAGAAGAGGTAAGGTATGGAATGAACAGATAAAACCAGCAACTTTTGAGTTAAAGAAAACCATTGACGCCTTAGTTTGTTTTAGCAGGTAAGGTTTCAGATATAACGCAAAAACGATGCCGCGATGTTCTAAATGTAAGGCAGCAATGAGGAGATATAACTACTCCGTCAAAGAGATAGAACGTATGAGAAAACGACTATGCTGACTTAAAGAAAGAAGCGAGAAACCAGCAGAAAATAAATGGACATGTTAGCATTTCTGAACAAAAACTATCCAACTGCTGACGATTTCCTTCTATCTGACGTCAAGAAGAAGTATAAAGAAACCTTCGGCATTGTTAAAACTTTTGATATCCTCAGCAAAGAAATAGAAGCTACGAAGCTGTTTAAGATTTCAAATATACATCGTACAATTCATGTAAAACGCTTGTGAGAAAACGGGTGAGAAAAGAGGGTAGAAATGAGGTTAGATCTAACCTTCTACCCTAAACATTATTTTTGTCTGAAAAATGACCAAATTTCATGAATTTCCTCATATGCTTGCTTCCCTCGGAAAACCGAGAGAAGAGATTCCGTACGAAAACAGTGAAGAACAGCGAGTAAGTAAAAAACCCCAGTCGCCAAAACTCTATGAAAATCGTGAATTTCCTTAAGATAGAAAAAATAACGCTAATTTTTTATAAAATATTTTTTTATTTTGTATGTAAAGACAGATATGTCAACAACAGAGAACACAACAACAGTTATAGTCCATGAAGATATAAATGAAGAATATGAGTGGGTTCAGTTTAACAAACAACTCCGTCTCATTCGTTCGGTCAAAGACGATATGTACCAAATGCAAAGTATTTTGA